TCTACTAGTTATATATATATATATATATATATATATATATATATATATAATTTTAAAAAATTTCAAGAATTTTGTTAAAAAAAATTAAGGGTTAAAGCAAAAATATCAATGCCTAAATACGTATATAATTCTGGGCATTTTTATTTTTTTAGTCCTTATAAATACGAATATTAAAATGTTTAACATAGAGTATATATATGCATATACTCTTTATGTTGAAAGTTTAAATATTTGTATTTGAAGACTGAAACAATATAAATGTCTAGAGTTAAATACGTTCCCAGGTATTGATACTTCTACTCCCTAAATTTTTTGAAACGAAATTTCTGAAATGGATTCCTTAAAAGCTTTTATAATCTTGTTTAATATCCACTTGTCTCTAATGAGATTTCGCGAAGAGATAGTGAAAATATCGCCACACGGGGTCACATGGGCGAATGTTTTACTTAATTTCAAGTGGATTCTTAATCCAGACGAATGTTTCAATCAATCAAAGCGAATTTGTTCCTGCGTGACGACACGTCGGGCTTTAATTCCGAGTGAAAATATTCGCTCGACGAGTGCTCAGAGTGGAAAAAATCACTCTGCATGAGCGAAAAGTCATTCGACCTCGAGTGATTCGGCTGTCACGCTGCCGCTCTGCCGGAATTCTACACGGAGAAAGGAGGAGAGTCCCTAAGGCCGGTTTTTGGCACCCTCTGAAATTGATCCAAAAATATCAGAAACGTTATATTTTTATAAGAACTATTGAAATAAAGTGATTTTATTCTAAACGGACATATTTTGGTACTTGCTTATACTATAATTCTAATTAATCCCATTTTTATCACCAACGCTCTTATGTCACCTACATATCATCTCCTTATATTTGTACGTGTATGTGTGCGTGCGCGCTCGATACTGCGAAAACACTATTTGTGTAGATATTTGGCAATATGTTCTTTTTTTTAATTATACTGCTCTCTATATTATGTTATATATTAGTTCCGGTAAAGACATTCGAATTACTGCAAGTTTACCTTCAAATGAGAATGTGAACTGGTACTGGAAGCTTGTAGAGAGCAGTATGATTTTTAAAGAAACGTATATTACTAAAATCTACACAAATAGTGTTTTCGCAGTGCGCGCGCCCACACACAAATGTAAGGAGATGATATGTAGGTGACATAAGAGCGTTGGTGATAAAAATGAGATTAATTAGAATTATAATATAAACAGGCACCAAAATATGTCCGTTTAGACTAAAATTACTTTATTTCAATAGATCTTACAAAAATATAACGTTTCTGATATTTTTGGTTTAATTTCAGAGGGTGCCGAAAACCTTAGGGATTCTCCTGCTTTGAGGAGTAGTCCACGATTCCGGGAATGCGATCGATTCGATGATGTAACGTCGTGAATGGAAACGCGCGATCATCCCGCGCGAAATCGGCCGGATACTTACAAGTAACACTACCCAAGTGCCACACGCCGATCTTCTTGAAACTTTGCACACGATGTAGTACATCGAAAAACATTAGACACGTATTTTTTTATTTTGGCTAACAAGGCATTTTAAGGTTAGAAAACGCATTCGAAAATTTAACACTCTATAACACAATGATAACTAACGCTACTTCTGAGCGTAATTCTTTTACAGCTTTTACGACATTACTTTATTATAATTTCATTGTCTGAATGTTTCTGAAGTCTCTAATTATGATTTTGACATTAGTTTTGCGAGATTCAAAATAACGGACCGAAATCGCAGACATTTCAAAGACTTTATTCAAAGTCAGTTTCGAAGAAGTTTTTAGATTACGATTACAAACTAATGTCAAAATCATAGAAGAAGATGCTTAGAAGTAGTGTTAGTTATCATTGCAATGATAACGTCATTCTTTTACAGCTTTTACGACATTACTCTATTATAATTTCATTGTCTGAAGTCGCAAATTATGATTTTGACATTAGTTTGTAATCGTAATCGTGGGTCTAAAAAACTTCTTCGAAACTGACTTTGAATAAAGTCTTTGAAATGTCTGCGATTTCGGTCCGCCATTTTGAATCTCGCAAAACTAATGTCAAATTCATAATTAACGACTTCAGAAACATTCAGACAATGAAATTATAATAGAGTAATGTCGTAAAAGCTGTAAATGAATGACGCTGAGGAGTAGCGTTAGTTATCATTGTGCTAAAGAATGTTAAATTTTCAAATGCATTTTCTAACCTTAAAATGCCTTGTTAGCCAAAATAAAAAAATACGTGTCTAATGTTTTTCGATGTATTACGTGCAAAGTTTTCAGAAGATCGGCGTATGGCACTTGGGTAGTGTTACTTGTTAGCTCGCATGCGATTTTCAGTGACGCAACTCCTCCGTGACGTGCATCGATCAATTAAGGTGCGCTCATGAATGGGAGCTGTCTTGAGTTTGTAAGAGCGACGAGTGACTCGAGGCGAGATAACTCGAAGACTCGAGTACGAGGATGCGTTACGGCGACAAAGGGCAATTTCAAGTTTACGCGCTGTTCCGTAAATTCCACATAGCTATACACAATTTAACAGGCAACATCTTCCCGAGCACGTTGTACACTTTTACCTGATGTCGAGACGCGGTGTTTTCTCTGCGATAAAAATACGTGGCGATACTCTCTCCGCATGTACTTTTATTGCAGCCGTATATTTTATTGCTCATCCTCGCCGAACGAATCTCTTAAAGTTCCATCCTCCTCTCCTTTTCGCCCCCTCTTTGTCTCTCTGTCTCTCTCCCCCTCTCTTTGCGGGGACGTGCGAAACTCGCAAATTCACTTACTCTCGCAGTAACTTCGAGTCCGCGGGCCACGTAATCGCATTCGAGGGTCGCGATTCTTCGATTCAAAACTCAGAAACAGGAATAGTCGACTTGTGACTCGGCACAATGCAACGTCGAGCCGGAAAACGTGCATTGCTGAAGGCAAAGGGCGCATAATCAAAGCATGCGAATAACGCAGTTTCGCTACATCGTGCAGCATGCAGCCAGTTGATTACCCCGTTTTTACGAAATGCATCCTCAAACGCGAATAAAAGGGTTCCGAGAACGCGAGTGCTGCGAACACGCGCTCACAATTTTTCCGCATATCCCTTTGCCTTTGAACAAAAGCGTGTGTGCTAAAAAAAAAAAAAAGAAAGAGGACCATGGACCAGTAAACGCGCTTCGAAGTGACTTCGAAGTGGCTTCACCGATGTTCTTTTTTTCTGTATAATCACGAATAATTTCATCGATCAATGAAATTAATTATTGATCAGAGTATAATTGATCGCATTCAAATTTGATCAATAGTTCATTTCATCTTGACGAACTATTTATGATTATTATTATGTATTTGTAATATCTTATTAGGTGTACAACTTTGCTTCTGCCGTTTTCCTATAGATAAGCGGTAAGTGGCGGTCGAAATAAATAGATCATAGACGTCATACAATAAACTTGAGTATCTGTCAACAAAACCCCATAGAAACATTAGTCGATTTGTGTCTGCATCATAAAGTTATTCTCGATTGAAAATGCAAGTTTACGAGCCAAATTCTCGTCATTTGCGGGAGGTTTTAATTTTCTGCTTCAATATGAAGAAATCTGCGGCTGAGGCTCATCGAATGCTCTCAAATACTTATGGTGAGGCCGCTATTAGTGAAAGGACGTGTCGTGAGTGGTTTCA